GTGTTACATTTAGGTCTTTCATCCATTTTGAGTTTATTTTTGTGTATGGTGTAAGAGAGTGGTCCAGGTTCATTCTTCTGTGTGTCACTGTCCATTTTTCCCAGCACCACTTGCTGAAGAGACTGTTTTTATTCCATTGGATATTCTTTCCTGCTTTGTCAAAGATTAGTTGGCCATACATTTGTGGGTCCATTTCTGGGTTCTCTGTTCTGTTCCATTGATCTGAGTGTCTGTTTTTGTGCCAGAAAACAGGTAAAGTCTTAAAAATAGTGCAGACACATGGTGAGAACTCAGTAGATGTTGGCTATGTAATTTTTTTAAAAAAGAAACTTGGATTTTGTTGTATTCAAGACTTAGATCCCATTTGCTATTTATTAAGTGACCTAGCTAAACACATGAACACTAAAATTTAAATTAATTCTACTTTTAAATTCAAATTGAATAAGATATAGATCTGTAGTGCAGTCAACTTATATATTCTGATTGTGAATATTTTATTCTTTGGAATATCCTTTGTGTGCATTAAATACTGCTTTTGGAGCAAAGTCCTTCCAGAATAAAATGCATGCTACGTGAAGATTGTTGAACCAGAGTTACACATAGTATTTAATGGGACAGATGAGTTAATATCATAAAAGAATAATTAAAAGATGTTATTTTGTGAAGACTACTGAGTAATTTTGAAATAGTACTTTATGTACTCAGTGCCCTGGTGCCTCACTGAATGCCTGCCATGTCACAAGGTAACTACACTTGCCCTGCTGCCCCAACTTAATTCATACTAAAGTATTAATGCCTACTGAGTCCTGATACAGATTATTGGATCTCATTTGCTATTTGTCTGCAGTTTGTTTAGATATCTACTGATTTTGCCTTTGACAAATTTAGATACATAAAATTGATGTTTTTGCAGGATTTATTTTACACTGTTGCATTGTGCAGTGGCTAGAGTCGAAACACAATAGCTTTTAAATTGAACTGCTTACAAAGTGATCTGTAAAATCATTCTAGATGCCTTTCTGTAACTGCTGTGGTCAGCTAGGAATCATTATTTGTTTTTCCAGCTAAGTTACTGAGTTAAAATGGCAGTGGAAACTGCCTTCTCGTAGAAGGTTTAAAAAGTGCACTTAAGCACTTGTTCAGGGCATTCAGAATAAAGAATCAAAGTCATTTACAATCCAGCTTGTCTTTGAAATATTGAAAAAGCAGAGGTTAATAATCAGAGCATTTGTGTGAGTGTATTATCAGTTTGGTTTTAGTTCAGTGTCCTGTTTATTCTGTGGTTGAGAAGACCATGGAGAACAAAAAGTGACTAATTTTCTATCTTGCTCTTTTTTTGGTTGCTTTAAATCTTTGAAAGACCATTGATACTATGATACATACATGAATCATAGTATCGGTGATGTATGAATGAGAGTTCTGGAACATAACTGGAAGAGAAAGATATGACTGGAATCTGAAAATCTTATGATTCTGATTCCAGCCAAATGCACAAAAACAGTGTGTTTGTTGATTTCCTAAGCTTTTAAAAAAAATTGCCCTCACCAAAAATTTGGAATAAATACATTTATATTGATATTATGTCTTGTTGTGGAAAAGTTTTCAAAGTTTTTTATGTTTCCTTGGAAATTTTATTACCTTAATTCTCGAACCTCTATTACCCTGCCCTCTAACACCACCATCTTGAGATTTTCATTGTGAGCATTAGAATGTATTGATTTCATTTTTTTCCAAAGAGTTGTGTTTTAAATTGCGCATTATTAATGTTTACAGCGTTTAAATATTATTTTAATCTTAGTATATTAATGAATAGGAATATACAGAATCTCTTAAAACTTTTGGGATTGTCTTTTTAATGCAAAAAACAATTGTAACTGCGTTACCAGAAGAAAATTACTTAAAGTGGGGTAGTAGGTTGGAATATGTCCTAGAATTCTAATTTTTATACCAGCAATGTATAATAAAATATTTAAGAAAAGTAAATCTAGCATAACCGAAATCTGAATTTGCACATAAATTCTTATTTAGAGGTACCTGTCATCAAAGCAGGCAACTTGAATTGCTTCATACCAGAAAATTGAATGTACCACTCAATTACTGTTCTTTAGCCCAATTTAAAATAATAGATTGGGAGTAAGGTCTTAATGCAGTGTAACCTTTGGAACATTAGAAATAGCCTCTTTCTTTCCAGAAATCAGTGTACAGTAAGGATATCACTTTTGTCATACTTCATGAATAGATTTGTAATAGCATTTCTTTTATACTTATTATTTATTCTTGGTACTTAAACTTCTTACATGAGTATTGTGATTTCATCTTTTTTACTAAACTTATTCTAATATTAATTTCAAGATAATGCTATTATTGTCATAGTATTTGAAAATATATACTTTGATTTTAAAGCTTTTGGATGACCTTATTTCCCTTCCGGCGAAATACCCAACTTAGGAGTGTTTTAATAATTTTATACTATTTCATAAAATGGATGTTTTGGAAGAATTTGAGATGGTGGATATTGTGATAAAATTTAAGTTGTGCAAAGGGCTGTATTCTCACTTTCTTCTTTAATGGTTGTGCCTTGTACAGCTGTGAAACTATAGTGAAAATATTAGGACTTCATTTGAGGAATTGGAACGGATTTCATAGGAAGAGTATTATCTCTCCTTGTGATGCTACCTCTTAATGATAGTCATTGGCTCTTTCATTTATTATAAACAAATTTTCTGTACTAGGTGAAAATGTTCACAGAAACTAATTTACATACCCCTTCAAATCTCTTTTAGAGTAAGGGAGGATACATATAAACAAAGAGTAATAAAACTAATTTGCATACTCTAAAATGTTGGTCTTAATGGTACTGATGGAAGGTTTCCAATTTGTACTAAAACAGTTTTTTTAAGAAACAAATTATATTGAAATGTAATTTATTAAAAAAAAATACAATGCCAAAGTGCAACATTGGACAAATTTATCTTCTCCCTAATAGACCAGGATTCATGATTTTATAAGCAGACCTTGATGATCTCGTCAGTTTTATATATTCCCAGGGTTGTGGGTGCAGATACTTAGAGGACAAGAGCAGCTTTGATTTAGAATCATAGTGTTTAATGAATGTATTCCTTTTTCTCCGTTAACCATTGGATTCTCAAAACATGGTTTGCAGACCACCTATCTCAGAAATCATCTATGATGCCTCATAAAACGTGGATTCCTGAGCCCCACAACAAAACTGTTATTTTGGACCTCGTACCAAATCCCTGTAGTTTTAATAAGAACTCAAGATGATTTTTATGGGCCTTGAGGTTTATTATTTATTAATAAGTGCCCTAGAGCAGAGGTCAGCAAACCTTTTCTGTAAGTTGCTAGATAGTTAATATTTTCAGCTTTATGGTTTTTGTTGTGACAACAGTTGACACCCGAGCAATGCAGGGGTTAGGGGTGCCGACCCCTCCCTCCTACAGTCAAAAATCCAGATTTAACTTTTGACTCCTCCGGAATTTAACTGCTAATTGCCCACTATTGACCGAAAACCTTACCGATAACATAAATAGTTGATTAACACATATTTTTTTTTTTGTTACATGTATTATACACTGAATTCTTACAATAAAATAAGCTAGAGAAAAAATGTTATTATGAAGATCATAATGAAAAGAAAATACATTTACAACACTATACTGTGTTTATTGAAATAAAAATCTGCATATAAGTGGACCCTCTGCAGTGCAAACCTGTATTGTTCAGAGGTCAATTGTGCTTACCTCTGCTATTGTAGTGCAAAAGCTACACCAATAATACATAAACAAATGGGCATGGCTAGCCAACTTTGGCCCAAGAACTTGCACATCGCTGACGGAATCAAGACTCTAGACCAATGATTTTTTTTTCTTTCTCTGTTAATCTTTTCTAAGCCATTATCTCTAAAAGCACCTTTAATGATATTTTCCTGGGTGTTTATTTTTTGATAACTGAAGAAAATCCATAACTGAAAGGGCACTTCCTAGATATTCATTACATGAATGGATGCAAAACCTTTATAATATTTAAAACCTTTTCGGGGCGCCTGGGTGGCGCAGTCGGTTGAGCGTCCGACTTCAGCCAGGTCACGATCTCACGGTCCATGAGTTCGAGCCCCGCGTCAGGCTCTGGGCTGATGGCTCAGAGCCTGGAGCCTGTTTCGATTCTGTGTCTCCCTCTCTCTCTGCCCCTCCCCCGTTCATGCTCTGTCTCTCTCTGTCCCAAAAATAAATAAATGTTGAAAAAAAAAAAATTTAAAACCTTTTCTATGTTAACATTAAGGAGCGTATGATTATCTTATTTGTAACTATATAATCTGCTTTTAATATTAGGTTCCTGTGGCTAGAGCAAGTATTCTTTGGCTAATTGGAGAAAATTGTGAACGAGTTCCTAAAATTGCCCCTGATGTTTTGAGGAAGATGGCTAAAGGCTTCACTAGTGAAGATGATCTAGTAAAATTGCAGATTTTAAATTTGGGAGCAAAATTGTATTTAACCAACTCTAAACAGGTAAGAGTCTAAACCTTAGTCTACCTAAGTGATACTTTCTTCTTTAATTTGATGAAGCACCCAAGGTCTATTCATGCATTAGTGTGTCCATTCCACAATTACTAGGTGTCTGTGTCTGTAAGGTTCTATGTTAGAAGGTAGTGGTGCAGAGAGATGACATTCTAGTCAAGGGAAAAGGCGAGAAAAACAGCTAAACGATGAAATAGGTGTGGTAAGTGCTGTAATAGAGGTGTTAAGATATGGTGGAACTCCAGAGGAGAAAGTTATTGCAAGTCAGAAGTGGAAGGAGGTAAGAGATAAGAGAACGTTTTGTGAAGGATAAGATTCTTGACTAAGGACTTACAAGGAGTGATTTGCCATATAGAATGAGAAGGGCGGTGAGAGTCATGAAACAGCTTTGCTGCAAGTTTCTTATTTATTGATAAAAACGCCATCTTAGCCTGAGAACTCCTTGTGTTCTCTAAATACATGTGGTATTGTAAAAGTCATTATAACACCTGGAATTGGCTACTCTAAATGTATCTAGCTTCTAGGTTATTAAAAAATTAGTACAAAATCAGTATGTTAATCAAGACCAAAAGTAGTTATGTCTTATAAAGCTAAATAAAGGTTCTGTTTTTGGTCCTCTTTATAGCTATAAAGAAACAATGGAAAGTGGTACTATTTGTTCAGGAATTACAGAATATATTCCATAGCTTTTGAATTTGAAGACAACGTAGCTTGTACCAGATGTTTTTTTCTTGAGCTGTATTGTTAAATGAAGTTTTGGAGCTCAACTTCTGAACTGTTCTATTGTATATTTTAGAATAATATTTCTGATAAACACAAATAGACTTCACCACCAACTCGTGAAGGCATATTAATGTTTAGAAAATGCACCAAATTTTTCATTCATTCATTCATTCATTCATTCATTTATTATTTTAGATACAGAGTGTGAGCAAGGGAGGGGGGCAGAGGTAGATAGAGAGAATCTTAAACAGGCTCCAAGCTCAGGGTAGATTGTGATGTAGGGCTCAATCCCACGACCCTGGGATCATGTCCTGAGCTGAAATCAAGAGTTGGGCGCTTAACTGACTGAGCCACTGAGGCACCCTGAAAATATACCAAATTTTCGCATATATTTTTGTATAACTCATTGTTTTTAAATGATTAAATGTAGAAATAGGTGAATGACAGTGTCTCTAGGGTTGTGCTCTTCAGTCTCTCATTAAGAAAAGGGGGTTGAGAGAATTGGTAAAATAAGCATTAAAGGGCACTTTTTAGCACCATCCGCTTGACAGCATTTTTAAATTGTGTGCTTCATACCTGTTGAATAAGAGAGAGAGACTAAAATGATTTCTTTGGGCTAACTGTAAAAAATTTATGTTCTGTATTTAATTTATTTTAGCCATCTTTAAGACTGAACCGTAGGGGCGCCTGGGTGGCGCAGTCGGTTAAGTGTCCGACTTCAGCCAGGTCACGATCTCGCGGTCCGTGAGTTCGAGCCCCGCGTCAGGCTCTGGGCTGATGGCTCAGAAGCTGGAGCCTGTTTCCGATTCTGTGTCTCCCTCTCTCTCTAACCCCTCCCCCGTTCATGCTCTGTCTCTCTCTGTCCCAAAAATAAATAAACGTTGAAAAAAAAAATTAAAAAAAATAATAATAATAAAAAAAAATAAAAAAAAAAGACTGAACTGTGGCAGTGCCCAGGGACTGGTTTGCCATGAAGTCCTGACATTTATTTGTCGATCTAAATTCCCTGTGGAATAACTTAGTGAGCATCCCAGAATTGTTATTGAATTATTTAGTTATAGGAAATGTCGAAGTTAATTTTTATAAGATTGAGCATGTTGTGTTCATTTGTTGGCTTGAGGAATAATTGAGTAATGAACTTCTTTAATACCTCAAAATATTTTTACCTGGTGTGAAAACTCATTTACAAATAAGTCAACAGTCTGCTTTCAGTATGTCGAGTTAGCCCCTGCTGGACTGACCCTCCACAGAGAACAACTCTGGAAAAAATACAAAAAATAAATAAATGCCCAAAGTCTCAGAAGAGTGAAGAAAAGCAGTAAGATCCTGGAGGGAAATTAACACTTGGAAGAAGAGAGTGGCACAGAGGGAATGTTGCCACTTTTATGGCTTTTATCCAAGAGGATGGGCTACAGTTGGCACTACACACAGGTGCTAAAACTCCAAAAGAAAACCCAAGGTCCTTCTGGCCTGAGGAAGTAGAGAACATAGTTCAGGGAAACTATAGATGTTGGAAAGTAAAGGAAGAATAATAGAAAGGAGAGAGCCATAGTGGGGGAGCCTCAGGATCTGTGAAGAATTTTGGTTGACCCCTGAACCACACATGCTCAAGGTGCATTCAGAGCAGCACAGCTGAATATAAAGGAACTGAACTGAAATTTGAGCTGCAGCAAAGAGACAAAGTTTTCACTTTGAACTCGACCAGGTTAACTGCTAAAATAAACAAAAATCAGTACTCAAAGAGTGTAACAATGTCCACGGCCTCTATAATACAACATTCGTAATTTCCAAGATACAATCCAAAATTATTCCACATATGAGGAATCAGAAGTTTCAATTTACAAAGATATAAAAATTTTGGGAGATGGATGGTGGTATTGGTTGTACAATATTCTGCATGAATTGCACAGTTAAAAGTGGTTAGGACGGTAATTATTATATGTTTTATCACACATACACACACACACACACACACAGGGAAGTGTGATCACTTTTCAAGAAAATTGGAAAAAACAACAGAAGCTAACCCTGAGATGATCCAGATGTTGGAATTTGCAAGCAAACATTTTGTAGCAGCTTTTTATAAGTGAGGTCAGCAATATAAAGGAAAATATACCCACCATGAATAAAAAGATAAGAATTCTCAGAGAAATATAATTATACAAAAGACTCAAACGGAAGTTTTTTAGAACTGAAAAATACAGTATCAAAAAAATCAATATCTTGTTTATGATTAGTATTATATATTCCTCTTTAACATTTTAATATTTTTCTTTTTAGGTATAGATATATAAAGCTGGTTCATATAGTTTTTTTTTAACTGTTACATTATAATTATAACTCCATATGTGGATTTCTTCAGTAAGCTTCTTTAGTTTTCTAACTCTGAGTTATTTCAGATGGAAGTTTGTATTTGGAAAGCAGATTAACTGTGTGTGATGACTACCATAGAACTATTTGATGTCAGTTACTGGAGGGCAGGTAGTGATTGAGCGTATAGGCTCCAATATTACATTGTCTGGCTTCATATCCTGTTTTGCCACTTATTAGGTACATAATTTTGGACAAATTATATAACCTATCCAAGACTTAGTTTTATCCTTTGTAAATTGGGAATTATTATAATTTCTTAATTTAATTTAATTAAAAAAGAAAGAATGGGAGAGGGGGCAAGGGGCAGTTGAAGTTGCTGAAGCTCTACAACTCTTAGGACATAGTGTAAAGACTGAGCATGACTTCTTTGCAATAGTCTACTGAGGTCTGAGACAGAAAACTGAGTTTATTAAAGGGATTAATAGCAACTAAAAATTAATGAATAAAGGGTGCATTTTTTTTAACTTCCTGTAATCTTTTAAATGTAGTGGTAAGTATTATAGCTTAGTGTTTCACTTAGCTGTTTTCTTTTTTTTTAATTAAAAACATTTTTTTAATGTTTATCTATTTTGAGAGAGAGAGAGGGAACGTGAGCAGGGGAGGCACAGAGAAGGAGGGAGACATAGAATCCGAAGCAGGTTCCAGGCTCTGAGCCGTCAGCCTGACATGGGGCTCGAACCCACGAGCAAGATCATGACCCGAGCCAAACTCGGACACTCAACTGACTGAACCACCCAGGTGCCCCTAATTTTTTTTTTTTAACATTTATTTATTTTTGAGAGACAGAGCGAGACAGAGCATGAGAGGGGGAGGGGTAGAGAGAGGGGGTGCACAGAATCCAAAGCAGACTCCAGGCTCTGAGCTGTCAGCACAGAGCCCGACATAGGGATCGAACTCACAGACTTGTGAGATCATGACCTGAGCCAAAGTCGGACACTTAACGGACTGAGCCACCCAGGTGCCCGTCATGTTTTCGTTTTAATTATGAAATAACCCAAACCTGTAGGGAAGTGTAAAATAGTATAAATACATATATACCGCTAAGACTAACTCAATGTTTTTGCCATAATTGTTATTCTTTTTTAAAGAAATGTGGCAAGTAGCTGCTGTCATAATGGTAGTATGTTCAGTCATGTGTGTTTTTACATTTTTAGTATATGAGTATATGCTCACACACTATGTTACTGTTGTGTGGGTTTTGCAATTTTGCATAGGTAGATACTGTATTTTTTTGTATACTTTGTAACCTACTTTTTTCACCTAATACCATGTTTTTAAAATACTGACATGTATAGATATAATTCATGCATTTTAATTAACTCTGATTTTCTGTGAGACAGGTTTCTGCTTTGCTGCTGTTAGAAAAGAGTGATTCATTGAGTATCCTTAATATTTGCCTTTTCTTTGTATTACTTTTTAGACTTCTTGGTTCTTAGTAAGAAATTTTATAAATCACAGTTACATCTTGGGCATCCTTCCTGAAGTTAAAAGCAAATTCTCTTTTGTCCCGTGATTCAGGTCTTAGGTGAAATCTACCTCTGCCCCCAGCTTCTTTAACATGACTTAGCAAAAGGGTCTCTGGCTCTGTGCTGTGACACCTCTACCCTTTCTTGGATATATTTTTTTTTGGCTTTAAGAAACTCGAGTAAATACAGCTTGTAAAGAAAGAACTTACAGAATACTTTTCAAGTCGACAAAAATATGAATACTGTTAAATTTATGAAATTTCATCCAAGTCACATAAAGAATCCTGGTTAGTCATGAAGTGATGAAATTGATGACATGGAACACTGGTACTGCTTAGATTTCCCTCTGGTTTAGGTTAAGAATTTTGTGTTGCTTTCTTTCATTTACCAAACCAATTACCAGTATCCTCCTTTTTCAGAAAAACAGCT